AAAAAAAAAATATATATATATATATATATACGTATGACACGTACATGGCAGTCGGCAAAATTAACTTCAACACCCCCCCTCTCGAATCAGTTAGGAACGGGCCTGCTTGTGACTCCAGTCTTCCTGTGACTTCTAAACATTTAAACGAGACATTTGCACTACTGAATTTTAATTGTATCATTAAAAAATACTGGAGAGCCCACGTGCACTAATGGCATATGTGCAATTGGTCTTAAAGGTGTGTGGCATTTGCAAAGTAAATGGAAGTAATTTATTTTCAAAATTCGAATGACGTTCCATTCAAAAAATGGTTTCAATATCAAGTAATAAATTTATCACGAAACGTTTATATTAGTCTAATTTTTAATGGTTTTAAGAAAACTTAAAGGAGATGCTTTATTAAAGAATTTGCTAAAAGAATATAATTCAATACAAATGAATTAAAAAGGAAAACAAAGCTTTTAATTTATATATTTATTTTTTGTCACACATTAAGCTAAAACAGGACACCCGCAAACTGTCCCGTCTTCTCTTTTGAGAGTTTTATTCATTGCTTTATTTATTCATTCCGAGATTTTTATCATCAAATAAAAACTATGATCATTAAAATTTCTTAAACTTAAAATTCGTTCTGTGCATTCGAATAAATAAATTTGAAAAACGGTTTTCAATTGCATTGATTTTTATTTGAGAGAATTTTCCTTAGCATAGTGAAATGCCCAATTACGAATATTTTGAGTAAAGTATGGCAATATTTACTCTCCAATAAAACTTAGAATGTAATTAATTTCATTTTGGCTTTAGACACACCTTTTTGAGTTGTAATAAGCGACTACTTAATAAGTTATCAAGTTTGTCCACAATAGCTCTGTTAGTGCGTACAAAAACAATTATAATTTATTCATAACTCGACCTGCCCTATTTAAGGGCATACGAGTGTAGATTCATAAAACATATATTATACACACATAAAACATCAGAAATTATACAAAATCACAGAAACTTGAAATCACAGATGTCAGTGGCAACAGCCCGACAGAAAAAAATACAGCATTACAAGTAACAACACAAAAAAAGGAATAACCTCAATGACATCTGCAAAAACTGAGCCATTATAAAAAAATAAATAAATAAATAGATTAAAATCCAATACGATCCCTTACGCAATTAAAAAAATCAAAAGAATACAATACAAAAAATTTAAAATCTCAAGAAGGAACGATAAAAAAGGTCCCAAAGTTAAAAAGAAACATAATAACAACATACACTAATACAAAGGACTAAGTAGTTAAAAACATGACCTATAACCGGGCCAAGACAAATTTAAAAAAAAAAAAAACTATAATTAAAAATAAAAAAATAATAATATAAAATAAAAATAAAAAACAATTATAATGAAAAAATTATATCATTATATGAAATTACTGTATGAAATAGTTCATAAGAAATTATAATGAAAAAAGGTATAAACAAAAATGTAGGTAAGCGTTCGAATCATTATTAAAAGAACACTTGAGTTAAAATATATATTAATTATGACTTTTTGACTAATTTGCAAAACGATTTCCACAGTAGCTTCCCTCTTTCCAACCTAATTGAAAAAAAAAAAACATAATTTAATAAAATCAAGGCAAGCATGGTTGAAAGAAAGAATAAATGCAAGAAATAATGTACAATGTAATGAGTTTTTACCATGCGCATTTGAAAATATCCATGCATATAACAAATAAAGTGCAATAAATGTTATTAAATGCTAGTACTGAACATAAAATTTTCAGTATTAGTATAATTTTATTAGTATTTTTTCACTATCAAATGCTCAGTTCCATGTTATTTGCTAGCAAATCAAATAAAATCACTTGAATGGCTGGAACAGATTTATAAGCAGTAAAAGATTTCTAAGAAAAGAGAATAAATTATAAAAGTTTTAGCATTAACAACAAATAGCTAATTCTTTTATTTTCGTTACTATACAAATAAATACAGTCCTTTAAATGATTATGATGATCAAAATATAAATTTGACATGGCAAAAAAATAAAGACTGAAAATTTTCAGTTTTAGAAAAAAAATATTTCTAGCTTATTTATATCGAATTGAAAGTTACTTAGCGCAAATAAAATTTAAAAAAAAATTCTGGTGAAAATTTGTAATAAAAAAGTAAATAAAAAAAATTCTATTAAAAAAACGCTATTAATAAAACTATATCAACAACCCGATAACTGTTACCATAATAACTATAACAACCCGAATTTTCCTCGTTTTTAATCATAGTAAAGATGAAAGAAAATTCAAATAATGTAAGAAAAAAACTCTAATATTTAATAATAAGGGCTTTTTTTTCTCTTACATTTATTTTTTTCTATTGTATAGATGATACAATTAAATGCATGTAAAACTTAAAATTATTGCTTAAAAATGGAAACTTTGAAAAAAATTTCAATTGGAATGAATTTTTACTGATACATAATACTGATAAATATGACTTTCAAAGAAAGCTTTATTATGTTATTTATTCCTTCAAAAACATAGGTGAATTCAAAACAAGAAGTGAATTATATGCTTCATTATTTATTATTTTGCTGTTTTCAAGACTGAAAGGACAGTTAAATTTTAGCATAGGGAGTTTTTTCAGCATAATAAAAAAAAAAATATTTTTTTTAATTATATTATTTCTATATATTGTTTTTTATTATATTATTATAGTGTTAAATTATTTTTTACTACAATATTTTATTATATTTTTATTATATTATATTATTTTTATTAATAAAAAAATAATATTTTTTTCAATCATTTTTTTTAATTTTTTATTTTTTTAATTAATTTTATCATAATTTTTTCCCCTTTTTTCATTTTTCTGTAATTTTTCCATGTTCTCTCTGCATTCTGAACTTATTTTATGAGTAGTTCTATTTACTTGCAGCTTATGAGCAGTAAATAAAACTTATTGTTTTTCTTAATTTTCTTCGTTTTGTCTTTTTGTATTTGCTTATTATGCTATATATATATATATATATATACTGTCAATAAATTACACTAAACATAAGTATGGAAAAAATGCTTGACTCAATATTTTTGGTAAGTAAAAAATAAACAAAGTTTCTCAATTTATTACAAATTGCAATAAAATTGTTTACATATCAAAAGTAATTAAAAAAAATAAAGAGGAAAGGCGTGTAGTTAAATTCTAGTTCTTAGGCGTGTAGTTAAATTCATTATTTACTAATTAAGGATTTAAATTTTTATTTTTTTAACACATAAATTAATTCTGAAATATTTCTTCTTAATTATCAGTAGTCCTTCCTTGTAATAATACCCATTCTTACAAGTAGAATCTTGTGTGGCATATTCATTGGGCATTATATCTTATTCAAAATTGACAAGTCTATATTTAACTATTCATTTGTAACGGCAGTTAAAGCAATATTCTGGTGATTCATTTTCAATATTTCACCGGATCTTGTCATAATTCAACTCCTTCTTTCCTATTGAGCATGAAAAATGCATTGTTCAAGCCTTTATCAAACCTAAACTTGTCAAAAAGAACTTGGATGTGAATAAGAACTTACTATTCACTATATTTACCATTTCTTCCTTTATGTTATCAAAATTGATGTTTCATCTGACCACCTACCTTGTTTAAGCCACGTACAGTCAATGGACATAACCTCTTGACGTAAATAGCAGGTGCGTACAATCTACCCACTAAGAAGTCAGTATTAAGAGTATAGATAAGATACACATATGGAGAGCTGACCTAGCTTCATAGCAGAGTATAAATTTGCAAGGAAAAGTGCAAGAAAATTAAACAGTGCCCAAAGATTTTTGAATTTTGGACAAGGATATCTATATTGAAGGTAACAATGTTTGAATCTTTTCCTTTAGTTTCTAAGAATTTTAATAAATTAATAATAATTAATAACAAATAATAATAAATTAATAATAATAAATTAATAATCATAAATAATAATAAATTAATAATAATTAATTTTTAATAAATTAATCACACTGTGATTTTGAAATAAAACTTTAGAGGACGCCATACCGAGGAAGAAAAGTTTCATCACAAATTCTCTTTCTCCTTCATTACTAATTTAAAATAAAGAAAAAGTAAGTTCAGGCATACATAGAGTAAGTCATGATGTTTCAGTTACTGAAAGAAATACTCCAAAATATTAAAATGTAAGAAAATTATTAGAAGAGATCATCACCGCTGCGTAATCCTAAGTTATCTTCTCACAATTTATTTTTATTTGTATATTTTAAAATCTTCTTTTCGGTATTTGAAACTTCGCGGCTTACTCTAGGTTTGTCTGAACTCACTTTTTATACACTTAAAATTATTAAATTAGTAATGAAGGAGAAAAAGAATTTGTGAGGAAAATTTTCTTCCCTGGTATGGCGTCTTCTTACGCTGTGTCACTGAGCACACGTCAGCACATGAATCTGTCGCACATCTCAGCAAACGGACCAAGATTGCTGAGGGCTTGGTTGAAGGTCCTTACACGCAGCGAAATGCTTCTTAATTTTTTTAATGGCATCAAAATTTTAATGTGCATTTATTTATGTTTGTAATGCTACACAACATTTAAATTTTTCATTGAAATAAGCATATAAGAAAATTAGAACTTAATCTATGAAAACTGATAATTCAAGAATCAATGGTAAAAACCATTCTTTTAAAAATATTTTTAGAAAAGTTGACAAAATATGAGAACTAAATTGTAATTAGTTTGAGGCTGAGGAATGAATTTTGTGTTGGGGCCAACAACGGCTGGAAAGCATTCGGAATAAACAATATTTTTTCATGTAGAAATTTTTCAATGATATTAATTCGATAAAATCTCTATAGCAAATTTCACAAAATGTTTGTTATTTTTCTATAGCAAATTTTTGTTAAGTAACATTCTCTTTTTTTGTTAAGAAATGTTTAATTTTTTGTTTAAATTATATATTTTAAACTAATTTTTTATGACTTAAATTTAAATATTATATTGTTTAAGGAAATTTTAAAAATACGCAAGCCTTTTTGCCCATTTTTTCGATAACTCATTAATGCAATGTATTTCATGATTTCATGAACCCCTTTAAATTATAATAATATAAAAATAATTGAAATTTCTCATGTGTTGAATATTAGATGCCTTTTGTAGCAATTTGCATATAATTTCTTACAATCCATGATATCTGATAAATTTATTTAGAATTTTCGAATTGCGAGCTGCGCTAAAAGAACCACAAAGTGAGAAAATGATGAGACTGTAGAAGTTATCCTAATCTTTAAGTGTAAAAATTTATGCAGTAATTAATTAAGTAGTTATGTAGTAGGTAAATTAAGTACACAAATTATACCACAAAAGGCGAAAATGATGAGACTGTAGAAGTCATCCTAAATATTAAATATTAAAATTTATTCAGTTCAATTATCTAATAGCTACATGATATAATTTAATGATAACTGATTTGTTTTGTAAATCTAAATTTTGTACGAATTTATTTGCTTTTAATTTTAAGATATTTTTGAGATTGTTATTGAACTTTTCATTTAGCGAATTTTCATTAGGTATAGCATTTTTAGGCTCTTAGCATTTTAATTTTTAATTAATGTAATTAAATTATAACTACTTTGCATTATAAAATTATGAGGTTGAATATGATAATATTTTGTATGTTAGCTACAATAGGTGTCTTTTTAGTTTTTCATTAATAATACTTTATTTTAATAGTTAATTCATGCAATTTAGAAATAGTCAATTATTGTATAGCCTTACTTTTTATAATTTTTTTCGCTTATTTGCTAATTTAAGAGAGTTGGAAAATTTTTTGAACTTGAGTAATTTACTTAAGATTCCACTCACACGTTTCAAAAGGCTGCGCCTATTGTTGATCGCACTATGACCGCAATCATCTTATCTTATTATCTTATTTTCAGAAACTAATTGTTCAAATCAACATTCGGTAAAGAGATATGATTTGAACACATATTTTATTTTATAACCGTCGTTGAACAGTCGAACCAATTTTTTGATTTTCGTCTACTAATGTACAACTCCGTAACCTTGTAATTTTGAACTAAACACCAAAGGCAAGAGAACCCCCCTGTTTTAGGTATTAGGAGAAATTTGCCTTTGTGGAAGACTTTTCTTGGTGAATCTAACCCGCATTTGCGCTACATGGAGAGGAAAACAACGAAAACCTCCCAAAAAATTGCCTGAAGTCAAGGGGACTCAAAGCCATTGATATTTTATGTCAGCACTGTGGTCGGTGCGAGCCTGGTGCGGAATTTGTATCTACCAGTCATCTCTGAGATTTGAAACCAGTTCACCTCATTGGAAGGCGAGCGTTCTATCCTCTGAGCCACCACGTCTACTCCTCCATCTATTATTACTAAAAAAAGAAAGAAGATGCCTCCCTTTTATATCACCTTGAGCTAACGTCCCCCGACATATTAATTTACCACTGCGTACTGATGGTTTTATAATTGTTAATGAAGATAATTAATTATATATTAAAATTTCTAACATAAATTATTTCTTTGGATGAATAGAAGTAGGTCAGATTTTGTCAAAAATTAGTTCATTAATGGAAACTATTACATTATAATAAGCATTCATAATTTTCGATTACAATGCTAATCATAATTATAACAGATATTGATCTACGTTTTCAAGAACATCGCGTTAGCACTGTGGTTGGTGCAAGCCAGATGCGGATTCGTATCAACCAGCCACCGCTGGGATTCGAACCCGGTCAAACAGTCGATTCCGGTGGAAAGCAAACGCTCTATCCCCTGAGCCATCGCGGCTCTTGAACACTTATTAAACATCTATTTATCCATTTATTGCGATTTGCATTTTGAAAAAACATCTTAACAATCAATACGCCTCTTAGGAGGAAAAAAAAAAGGAAGATAAAATGTAATTTCTGAATGTGATTGAAGAGTCTAAAATATATAGGCATAAGCGTTCTTCTTTAGACTTGTATTTTAAACCAAAATGGCTGTTAAAAATTACAGGAAAAGGAGCAAGTATGACAATCTCAACTTTTGGACGTTTTTATTCCTATTTTACCATTTATTATGCTTATCTAACGATAATTTAACTGGTTAGTGTTAATGGTTGTCTTAACGGGGTTTTACTGTGTGAATAAGGGTCAGCACAATCTACGGTTAGCGAAACAATAAAAAGCAAAAGACATAACTACAATATTTGCATTTTGAAATTTTGCAGTTAAGATTTTTATCTAATTTTTAAGCAACAAAATACTTTAATCTTTGGAATTTTTGAAGTTTTGAAACATCCTTTTTTTTTCTCTCTCTCTCTTTTTTAAAAGCAAAACGCGAACCATGTTCGAAATATATGCAATTCAAAGATTTATTTGAAAATTAATGCCATAAGTTTTTGCCACATATGTCTAAATAATAGAATTTTTTTCCACGGGGAATAAAGTAACATTTTGGCTTTGATTCAATTTTTTATGTTACTATAAGTAGCGAAGATAAGTGTACAAAAATGCTGTTTTTTACTATTAGAAAAGTTTAGAATTGTAACTAAAGAGAAATCATAAATTTTGTAATTTGTCTTACATATACACAGACAAATTGATACTTTGGTTAAATTTAATTGAAAAAATTAGTATGTATAGTATTTCCTAAAGTTTAAAACTTTTCTCCCATTAATCATTTTATTTTTACTTAGATATTTTTATTTCTTAGAATTTATAATACACGATACTCATTAATTGATCACATTATTACAATGATCAAAAACAATATTATTTTCAGATTAATTATGACGGCCCAACATAAGCAAGCACATGGCAGAACTGAGGCTGAGTGTGAATTCAGTAACTTAATGGAAAATGTAAGTGTATTTATAATTTTGCTTTTAAGGGACACTGTCTCTACCTAAATTACTTAAGAAAAAAAGAAATTGTCCATAAATATCCCTTAATATTAACCATTTCAGAATTGTCCATAAATTTGAACAGTTACGGATAAAAAATTAATAAATAGCAAATTAACCAAAATAAATGCTTAGTATTATGATAAAAATTCAGTATTTAACTTTCTTCATTGGAGTTGCGCAAATAATATTATAGATCCAGAAACAAATATTATAAAATTTGAGAATTTGTTGCTCGAAAGTTCGAGAATGATTTTTATTTGAAAACGGTATTAATTAAGAAATAATGACACTATCATTAAATCTAATATTTCATAGGTATATGGTTCAGTTATGTATTTTGAAAATATTAAAATTTTTGTATTTTTGACTTTGGATCAGCATGATTTTCAAGAACCCAAGTTTCAAGAAGCAATCACTGCGCCACGTCTTCAACTAAATGTGACTCATATAAAAGACCAAACTTTTCGCAGGTTCGTCTTCAATGCTTATATCCTGTATCAAAGTGGATATTTGATCAATTTTTTTTAATTTTACATTAATCAGCAGCTTTTTTTTGCTACACGAGTTAGAGGAATTATTCCAATTTATTTTATAAGGTCTTCCTATTAAAATTATAGCTCTTTGAGATACAGAATGCATAGCTGCTAAGTTTACCGGATTTTTCAGTAGACAACTGGATTTTGCCAGTTTCTCATGATCTACTGGTTTAATTAAAACTCGTCTGATACGTTGTCTGTTTTAGAAAATTCCCTTAAATTGAGTAAGTTTTCTATAAAAAAAAATCCCCATCGTAATAGAATTTTTGTAAGGATTATTGCTTGCTTGAATATTTAAATAAGTATCATTAATACGTGATGAAACGTGCCTCTTTTATATAAATCAGTTGAGAACTTTTTTTGCTCTAAAGTGTTCAGTTTATTTTTATTCAGAACTCCCTTTTTTAAAATATTTATAGATAAACATTGCAGTGAAAATTAAGGAAATCATGCATTTTTTGTAATTTAGAACGACAATCGACACAGCATGGAAAAAAAAATTTTTTTTAAGAGATGGAAAATTAAGTTCTTTTTACAAACCCTGAATAAAAACAGCGCCTTGAAGCACTTTTTAAAAACACCATGCACCCTCTTCCTTAACAAAAAATCGAAGGTGGTAGGATTTGAAGCAGTAAATTTGAAGTCTGGTTGATGTTGAGGTTCTCGCCAAAGTGAAAAATAAAGAATGTTCTGTAAAGAATAATTGTAATACATGTTTTTAAAATATTTAGAAAATGTGTAATTTGTGTTACAATTTACACAAGATAGTGCAGAGAACATCAAAACCTGTTTGATTGCCTACTTCCCTCCACTGAAATTTATCAGATTTTTTACCCTTTTATTTATTTTTTTTCTCTTCTACGTTAATAATTAATTTATTAACTTCAAATACGCTTGTTAGTTTATAATTTTTTTATTCGCAATTAAAAATGTATATTAAGGATGATCTTTATGGAACACCAGTTACATAAGACAGTCGGACCTCTATTTAACGAAGTCACTAAATCTCGAAAAAAGTTTATTATAAAAAGAATTCTTTAAATGTAAATTTACCTATAATATTTTGAAAAGTAGAAAATTTAATTTAAATTCATATGCACTAGATGTAAATAAAAAAAAGTTATTAATTATTCAATTCCTTAATTAACTTATTAGTTCCTTATTTTAAAAGTTCATCATCATCATCATAACAGTTTTCCAGACAGTCCAAAGTGGGCTAATACCTTCCTCTGAAGATTTCTCCATAATGAATTCCGATTTATCTTTGATCTTCAATACTTTTCATTAATTGCAAGAAAATCAGACTCCACCCAGTCAGCCTATCTCCATCCCGGCTTTCCCCGCTTGCTTGTTCCAGTGGGTCTAAAAAGCAGTATCTTTTTTATTGTATTGTCATCGCTCATTCGAATCACGTGGCCCGTCCAATTCCTTCGATTTATTTTTATGTACTTAATAATATCGGGTTGCTTATAAATCTTGTACAGTTCGAAGTTAAATCTCCTTCTCCAGTTATTGTTTTCAGTTACACCACCAAGTATACTCCGCAAAATCCTTCTCTCAAATATTGTGATGCAATTTTTCTTTAGTTTTCTCATTGTCCAAGCTTCAACAACGGATATTTTAATAGTTATCAATTAATTTATTTACTTTGTAATTTGATAGCTATTTATTTTACACATCTTGCAAATAGTAGAAATGTAAAACTTACGTAAAATGCATAAAGTTACAGGAAATTTTAATATTCTTGGTAAGTTAAGGGACTAGTACCATTAGCAAGTTATTGTTCACTATAAAATGTGTAAAAAGGAGGAATTAAGTTTGAAATGCTCAATATGCAAATAAAATGCTGTTTTCTTTCTGCAAAAAATTCCGGATGAAATTACTGTCAAAAGTACTGGCACTCTTAGTGCAGAAACCATAAGATCCATTTTACGGTAAAATATTTTTATCCCGTTGAATTTTACATCCCAATTTTCAGGTTCAATTATTTTACAGTAAATATTACTATATATAAATATTAAGGTATATCAGATTTTTTTTTTGTTTTATGAAAAGTTATGGTAAGAATAGATTTTATGGTAAAAAGTACTGACGGATACTTTTAACAATAATTTGATCCGCAAATTTCTTACAGTATAAGAATACATAAAATTCTGTATATCGAACCTCAAGCAAAAAATTATATTCGAATAGAAAGTTATTGAGACGTTTATCTCATTCTGATCTCAATATTTTAAAATCTTTTCAATACATTTTCGGTTTTCTTATATTTATCTGATTTTTCTCCATTTGTTTGAAAATTCAGCGTAATAAATAATAATGTTTATTATAGGAATTGGAACTGATGGAAGCAGAATTATTACATTTAAAGGAGATAATTATTTCGCGAAAAAATGATAGAATGATGATTAAGCAAATGATTCCCTTGATCGAAATAGATTCTGCTCAAGAATCAATAATTGAAGAATTCTGTGAAAGGTATGGAGATGTTGTTATCAGTTACGACTTACTTATAATGTAGAATGTGTTACATAACATATTTTTTAAACAGTTCCTTTATGTTTTAATAATACATGAAACATATTTTCTCTCTTTAGGCTAGAAAGAGAATGTGAAAAAGACATGTTGCAATCAGACAAGGATGGTCTATTTTCCAAAATAAGCAAATTCCAAGAATTGTTAGCAGCATTTAAAAGTGTTTATCAAAAAGTATATAACTAACCAACTTCATTTTTTATTTCTTTCACATTGCTTTTATTATTAGAATAATCAACACAAGTTTTTGAGTTATAGCTATTGCAGGCTGTCAGTCTAATTTAATTTTTTTCTATCTATCATTTATACAATTAGATTTAGCATTTGTGGATAAGAAAAACGGTATTTACATTAAAAATTAAGCTTAAAAATTAATAAAATTTTAAAAATATAAATGAAAAAAAAACAATAACGAAAAGCATAAAAAATTAAAATTTTTATTGCCTATATTAAATACAAGAATATATCTAACTCATAAAACAAATTTTTAAAATAATATTTTTTTATTGCAATGCTTCATTAATATTTTATTGCTTTGAACAATTAATTCATTATTTTTGTATGTGAATTAACACTTTTTGATAAAATTTTTGATACTTTACGGCAATTGCAGTTTAATAATTACACACTTGTAACAATAAAAATATTAAGAAAATTAGTTCTATAGATTCTAAAATATTTGAAAACAAGAGTAAATAATTTTACGTTATTTACAAATAAATAATTAAAAAAGAAATCTAAACATAATGAACAGGCATTTTTTCTTTCATTTTATAATTTCAAAAGCTCCATTTGGATTAGAAAACCCACCTGAATCTTGAAACTAAATTTTTCTATTTTTTCTACAATAATTACTTAAGCTTATTTTGATTTTTTCCTCTTTGAAAATATGATGGATAACATGTAACTATGACATACAAGCACAAAACGATATTTTTGCTCCATTTTTTTTCTTCTTTTCGCAGGTTTTTACTAAAGAAGCTGAAAAATCAGAATTTCTGAGTGGACTGACAGTAAAACAAAGATGGATAACCTATGTTTTGGAATTGGAGCTAACAAGCGAAAAACAAGTAAAATGAAATAATTTTTAAAGGGGTTAGGAAAGGAATGCAAATTTTTTTTCCTGTGCTTATATTTGAGTTAATAAGTAACTAATAAGATGGAGAAAAAATTTCAATTTAGTTTAAAATTTTAGTTCTTGGCCGCCAGATGTTTTGCTTGGTCTTTATTTATCTTTTATTATATATATATATTAANTGAACAATTTCAATAAACTTTGATGAGGAACATTTAGTTGAATGGATAAAGATTTTTCATGTATATATGTATATATATATATATATATACATTGAAACAAGATTGGAAATACGGATAGCTTTGCGGATATAATAGTGTGAGCTGATGACGAAATTATATCTATTCCTTATTTTGTTTTCTATCTTTTTAAATATTGAATATTTTTAAATAAATTTTTTTGTAATTTTTTTTCTCCTCTTTTAAAAATTCTTTATATTTTTCACGTTTTCTCCATGTTTTAATTTATTTTATGTGTTTTATGAGTACCAGGTTCTGCACAGTGAAAATAAGACATATTAGTTTTTTTTTTAACTTTTCTTCGTTAATCTCTCTTCTTTCTTTCTTTTTCATTTTTGTCTTTATTGTGCTCTATATATTTGAATTTTTCTTTCATGATAACTTTTTGCATTTTTTTTTCTTTGAAGATAAATTACGATAAAGAACATTTACGATTTTCAGGGGAAAGAACAAAGGGAGAAAAAGATTTCAGAACAAAAAAAAGAATTAGACTGCGCTTGGAAATGTTATGAAAGGCAAAAATCTCAAATTGAAGATTTCCGAAGACGGATTCATAAAAGAGAATTTGAGTTGAGAAGTATAATAACAGAGTGAGTACTTTTTTAAAATTCTTAAAAACAATAGTTAAATAAGCAATAATGTAAGTCAAAACTTATATTGTTTACTTGATAATGGGAATGCAGTTTAAAAAAGTATAACCGCTGAAAATAGGATATACTAGATTGATTCCAAAGTCACTACTCGACACATATAGTTCTTTAACTCATACAGCCCAAAGACCCATTAGTTTCGAACAATGCCTTATGCGTAATTTTTTCAATATTCTATAAACTCCCGAGTTAAATGTCTGCTTGTGCCTGCTTTACTTTAGCCTTCTGCCTTTCCAATACCAGGAAACAAAAAAAAGCAGAAAGATTTTTCTTTACAGAAATAAGAAAATTGTATAACGAGAAAATGTGAAGAAAACTATTAATAGATATTAAAATTTATCATTTATAATTATTTTTATTTACATTATTCTTATTTAAAAAAAAGATTTATGATGTGTGTCTTTTTTAACCGTTTTGCAGTTTATTCGTGAATTTGCTTATCCGTGCTTCATGGGCCACTTAATTCCACGGATAATCGAGAGTTTACAATACTAAATTCGAAACAACCTTCATCTTTATTAAATTTAGCAGTTAGAGAACTTTTTGAATTTTTGTAGACCCCTAATCAAAGGAAGTCTTACAATACGAGAACCTTCCTAACGACTTATAATATTGCATATCTAAAAGAAAAGCTGGCGAATTTTTACGCATGCTATAAGAATTCTAAGTAGAAAATTTTTCATCAGGATTTGAAAATATATATTCAAGGAGGATACTAAAAAGAACACGAAGTATTTTTAAGCAATGAACAATTTCAAATGATAGAAGAGTTTAATGATAAATATATAACTTCGAGCAAAAGCTTTCTCATTTTCACATTGGTTCAATAAAGGATCAGAAGAATTAATAGTTTTTATTTGAAAGTAAGACATTACTGTTGTGAAAGTATTTCATATCCCTTATGAACAAAGTTAATATTATGTATAACCTAAAAAGAAATAATAAAATGAGTAAATGTAATAAGTAATGTAAAAGTTATACTATGCATTAATTCACGTAAAATGTTTTAAGAATATCTTTCATTTCTTATTTCAGAGATTATTTTTGTTGCTAACTAAAATTCCTTTTCTTTATTGTTAGATTTAAAAAGAAAGAAGAAGCAAGAAAAGAATTGCAGTTTAAAAATTCTAGTTTGAATTTTGAACTTCTGAATCTTAGAAAGGACCTTGCAGCCTTTAAAACTGATTATCAGAAGGTATAAAAAAATTGTTTCTCATAAGATATACAAATACATAAATTTTCCACATTACGAAATGTAGTCTAGGATTAAATGTTCGGTACGAGCACATGGAACGAAATATTTGCGGTCAGAATAAGCGCAATTTTGAAAATATTTGAATTTTGACGTAATTTTATGAGATGCATTTGTTTCTAAGTTATCACTAATCTACACTCAGATTTTTTTATGCACTTTTCTTAATAAATGGTTTTTTATATGGTAAGCAGCATACTTTCGGCGAAGAGGCTTGAATGATGTGCGCATGCTAATCTAATTGTTTTAATAGCGCCTTCCTACGTCTTGCTTTTCGCTCCCACAGTACGAGAGAGTTTAGTTTTACATTCTTTGGTTTTTAATTTTTCCACTTTAGGATCTATTTTTTTATTTCTTAATTAAATAAAGAAATAGTTATTTACGTAGCCTATCTATCTAATACATACATATGGTCTAATGCATACATATGGTCTACATGTATTATGATAAATAATGTTTTCACTTTTTAGGTAATTGGAGAGAAAGAAGTGTTAAAACAAAGACTGGCGGAAGTTGCATGGAATTCAGCTGAAAAAGGCGAGGCAAAAGCTGCTGAGCGGACAGAAAAACAAGTAAGTTGAAATATTTTCTCTTTTATTTATTAATGCTTAATTTCTTGAAACCCCAATTTAAAATTATGCAGAAAACGCTATTTTTACATGTAGCTTAGAGGAAATTAAACGCATAAATGCGATAGCATATAGTATAAATTATTGCCTTTCTTTGAAAATCAATTGTTTACTAAATTTTTTTTTACTCTTCGTAATTGTCTATAAACTTTTTTTTTTTTAATTTTTAGAGTTTTTTGCATATTGTACAACAATTTTCTAGATGTATTTTTTAACTTTTCATTCATGAACAAAAAATCCTCTAGAATCGAATTTCTTTCCCTTTTTTTTTTGATATTTCATCATTGCAATGAAAATCTCCAACCAATGAAAGTAAATCCAACTAGACAATAGCTATAATATTAAATCTTACTTTTTTAAGTGAGCAAAATATGCACCAAATGTTATAGAACATATTGAGCATTGAGTCTCAAAAGGATAAAAATAATCACAAATGTTGTAGTAAATGAAAAAGTAATAAAATTTATCAAATGGCACAGCTTGTCGATAATGTTTGATTAGTTGAAAAATTTTATGTCTTGTTTCCGTATGTGTTAAATGACACTTAATGCGCGCAGGTTATTCAACTCTTAAATTATTTGTTACGAAAAAATTTTTCAGATACGAAATATAATAGAACACAAAGAAATATTAGGAACAAATTGGCGGTTCAAAAAAGGAAAAATTATAGAAAAACAGTAGCGAAATTTTAAATTTCCTTCCTAAATTCGTCAGCAGATGGCACTGCTATCTGAAAATAACTTTTGTAATATTTTAAAGCCTTTCATCTGAAAACAATCTTTTCAACACTATTCGCAACAGCATATAGCAAAATTAGCAGACAATTTTTTAAATATTTCAGTTGGAACGGTCGAACATGCATAGGAAACATTATTTTTTTAGTTTTTTCATTACAATATCGCCATCTGTTGACGAATTAGTTGTAAATTTCTAAGTTGTGAGAGAATAAATTATCGTTTTCAAGATAATGCATTTCTGTATCTAGTTTTTCGTGAATTATTATTTTCACAAATCGTCGATTTCGGTGACTTTGCAAAATACGTAACATATGCAGCACATAAAAATTTGTATTAGTCATCAGCGCAATCCGTTGACGATCTTAGCCACAGATTGTGAAATTTGACAACAAAAGCCTGAAACTTGTCTGGAAAATTCGAATATTTATAAGAATTTAGTGTTTGAATAATTTAAAATAAGCTTATTATTTGAAAACTATTTCTCAATTAAACTCTTTAAAAACGAAAGTTTAATGAAATTTTTTTTTATATATTGAAGGTGAAATTGGAGACTATTAATGAAACTAAACTCAATGCTTCCCAAAGACAAACGAGTGAGAGAAATGAGTCAGATGATGATTCCATTGAAGAGTCAAGTAATTGGGAGAGTGAATTGGATGAAATTTTATCCAGGTAAGCATATCAAAGGAAAAGCGTTCAGAGATTTTTTTTCCTCATCAAATAGAAGCTTAAGCTCCGTTATTTCCGTTTTATTATTATTTCTTATTTTCGTTTTATTAGTATTTATTCTTTCCTTAAGTTTTGATGATTAAGTGTCTTAAAACTTGTCAACAAGCTTTTTGTGTCATTCAGTTGCATTATATCCTTCAAAGATAGAAAATACAATGGTCTTCTTATTAAATTATACGCTTGATCATTTTTAGAACTTATACTAACTATTTTTTTCAATATGTAAAGCAATAAAATTATGCCATTTGTTGTTTTGAATAAGCAACTTAAACTATGCATTTGTTTGTTTCTAGATTTTTTTTAAAGAAAACTTAAATTTTTTTTCAGTTTAAAACTAATGAAAACTGATTTAGATAACACTAGAAAAATTTGAACATCAATTTAGCTATAATAATTATCAAATATAAAAAAAAAACCCGAATAATGTATAAAACTGAAACTTCCGTTTAAAAAAAATGCTGTTTGCAGATTTGTGTTTGTATAAATTTATCTGGAAAAAAAACTTAAAAATATCACATGCTTTACATCTCGCTTTGTGCACAGATGACGACCTTGCAATTTGCTTGCTTCGAAAGACACTGCTGCATTGAGCAAATATCCACTCGTAAATTTTTTTTAGTGAAAATTAAATAAAAGGTATTCAAAGAATATTAAGTATTCCTTGAATACTTTTAGTCCCTCCTTATCCTTTTACGAATTCGGTTCGAATCGAATATAAATATTCTATGCTCAAAGCATGACTGCAGGTTCTGTATATTTTAGCAGAATATCAGATAATATTTTCCTCGAAGTTTTCTTTTATTCAAAAAAAAAAAGCAAACAAACAAATGGACAATTGTTAAAACCCTTTAAAATATCTCGAAGCACTTGCTTCTAATGGAAATTAAAAATTTTGATTGATAGAACACCACAGGAGGCAAACTAATGAAAGTTATTTTTTTCTTCCATTTCTGTAACTTAATTGTGGACAAAACTTTATTTCGTTTTTTTTAAGTACCATTGTATGAAATTTAAAAAACTTAATTTCAACTTAAATTTAAATATACCAAAGCTTTTATGTATTTTTAAGGACCTTACGTTTGAAAATTTTGCCGCACGTATGTTTGATTGAAGGGAATTTTTTATTTATTGGTAATCTCTGTTTCACTGCTCTGAGGTGACAGAAAACTTTGGATTTATGAAGAGAGTTCACTTGATAAATTTAGTCACAATCGTTAAATCGATTATTACTACATTAGATTCAGCTCAATGCGATTATTGGCGCAATCATTCTAAAAATGAAATAAAAAAAAGCTATTCGTCGTAAAAAGAATAGATTACGCTTCACTTGAATCTTTGGTTCACTTGAAAACAGGCAGGTATACACTGTCTGGCCAAAATTATCCGGACACCCGGTTGCTATAGTGATAGATGCATAGTGGTGTGATGGTGTTTCTCATGGTTTGGCCTGGGTCCGTCCATAGAGTTGATATAGGTCCGTCAGTCCCTGCGGTCTATCTATGGGTCCGTCAGTCCCTGCGGTTGATCTTTTCACCTGCGGCCAACAAGGTTCGCCTGGACATTATCTCACTAGCTGTTCCTATACTGTCTCCTGGCATAGTTGTCAGCCTAGTAGCCCAACAAATTTAGAAATTTGGCAGAAAAATTTTATTATAAACAATACTTTAACCAAAAGATTAATAACAGTAATGAACTTTTTAGCAGATAATGACTATTTATTAAAATTTCAATAATCTCCTATTCCACACTTTCAGTTAAAAATATGTTTTTCTTTTAAATATCATGCTAAGTAAAATATTTTCAAAATTAATACCGCTGAATGGACCCGTTCCTAGGCTAGAGTGGAGCTGGACTAGTGGCCAAGTCCTGGGCTACATGGTTAAGGGTTTTTCATAACCTAGGTACATGTTCAGGGCTTGGAGGAAAGAAGGAAAAAAAGGAAAGTCCCTGCGGTTGGTAACATGAACTCTGAGATGCATGTGGATATTCTGAAGAATTCTGTTCTTCCAACTCTATGGCAATATTTCTTGGAAGGCCCATTTCTCTTCCAGCAGGACCACTGCGTCATTCACACATCGAGGCGAACGTGACGTGATACACAGACGTGATTTGACGAAATGGGTGTTCAATAACTAGACTGGTCTTCTCAGAGCCCTAACTAAATCTCATAGAACACATTTTTGGATGAATTGGAGCGCAGATTACCTAGCCAGCCAAATCGACCCTCCTTACTGCAAGCACTCAATTCAGATGTGACGGAAGTCATTATCCTATATCCACCTATTTGTAAATGGTGGAAAGTCTTCCCAAGATGTGTGCAGACTGTCATCGATGCAAAAGGTGGACCAACATCACATAAATATGTACCTTAGGACGCTCTAAGTCCATACTACAGGGTGTCCGGATGATTTTGGCCGGATAGTGTATATGTGCAAGCTCTAGACTTAGTACCATAAGTAATAGTAGTATAAACTGAACGTACAATAGTATATTTTTTTGTATCAATCTTCACTAAATGAGTAAACAATGCAATATTGAATTGGTTATGAGGAATAAAGTGGGTCTAGTGGCACAATCTGTTTCCAAAGCGATCGTCACCAAGTCAACTATAAGATGTCTGTCTAAAGAATTCATGGATTGTCTGCTACCAAAGAAGCAAAGAATGAGCAAATTTTAGAGAGGGGGGGGCTTCTCTCGCCAAATCCCAATTGAAATTGCTCAGAGTATTTACCCTACACATTTAGTTAGTACATAAGTGAAATTGTTATATCTCGAATCTGTAGTTCTTGCCAGCGCTCCAGAGGACTGGGGAGTGCGTTTCCTCAAAGAACTGTCCTTTTCATGGTAAATAGTAGAAAACTGCGGATGTTGTTGTTTCTCATAAATTTGTATAAATGCTGTTTTTTTTTTATGAACTCCGGAATCAAACCCATGTATCACAGTTTTTACACATTGCCACTCCACAGGGAGAGCCTGAAAAATACAGGGAAAAACCTGGAAATACCTAAAATAACAGGGAAAATGCTGGGAATTTTGAGTTTTTCTTTAGAAATTGGGAAAATACAGGGAATTTTGTTTCCGATTTTCGTCTTTTAAAAAATGGTAACCACTCAAAGGAATATTTAAGGATGATATTACAACTATATTAAACCAGTTCATGCACTATAGCATTATTTGTTTTAAGTATATTCAGCTGTTCCTTTTTTCTCTTAAAGCTTTTTTCAGCAATTATAACTAGTATAGTTAGCCCAATATAGCTCATACAAGAGCAGAGTGATTGTGTTTTTCCTCTGAATATATTGTATATAATATGTACAGGGAAAATACTGTGAATTTTTTTTCCAGATTTGTTTTCTATTGTTGTCTTATAAAGTAATATAGTTTTAGAGTAATCAATTACTTCAAATGTTAATAAAGTCTAAGATAAAAACTTTTTTGTATAGGCTTATATTTGTTTAAATAAAAAGCAAATAATTAAGTTATTAAATTACAATAGGTATTTAATGGTTTCACTATTCTTAAATAATAAAATTTACGTAACAAAATGTTTCTAAAGTACAATACTTGCGTTCATGCACCTTTATCGAAACTATTTGCTTTGTTATCTTTGTTTGTAATAGAATAAAGTTATAGGATAAGAATAAATAGTCTGCAAGGAATTTAAAAATTTAACATGCTATATTTTTTGAATAATTTTTCTTAATTATGTTTTCAGACTAGAAGAAGGAAGAATTTCAAACTATGAACAGCAATTCAAAAACATGAAGAACTCTGAGGATGATAATGCAATATCAAGACAAATCACCTTAAAGGTATGAAATAGAATTTTTATTTTCCTCTAATTAAATACTACTATAATATTTTATTTTAATAAATAAAAAATAAGAATTTAGTTGCAAATCAAGACAACTTACCAAGAAATTAAACTTATTCGTTTTAATTAGGTTCAGCATTTTTTTCCCTTTAAGGCATATTTAAAACGCTAATTGATGAGTTGTTTAAAATGATTTATTTAAGAAACGGGGAATTAGGCTAATAAAGTGGATAATAGTAAATATTATAGAGCATCACCCACGAGCGGAAGAAATCGTTCCATTTCGAATCAAAGGAATCTTATTTTTGTTTTTTAATTTAAAAAATTGCGCACAATTATTCATTTTTTGAAATGGAATGTTGTCAGAAAGGCCCTTAAACATAAATTCAAACTTAATTCAGTCTTTCCTTGTAAAAAAGCCAGGAGCTGTTCACGCTGTAACCAATCTTTACAGCGTGAGGGAATATTCAGCCCCATAACAAAAATTCGAATTTCATTCTGTTCTTCATTGTCAAAAAATACTGTGAAAAATTTGTTGGGAAAAAAAATTACACAAAAAGGTTTCAGAAATGTCATATTGAAAAATGTCATATCAGTCACCATGTCCGAGTCCCTAACTTTAAGGCGAAATTAAGGAAAATAATTAGTTCAATAAGTTTAATTTAAAGAATGTGTAAATTTATTTTTTTAAATTGTTTTGCCTATTGGTCTATATCGTGATCATCGAAAGTCTCAGGCTTTATTAAATTTATGATATCGAAAAATCTGCTTTTGCAGTTCCTACGAGGTAATTATTAGAAAATTTTAATGATATAATAATTATTCTTTCTTTAAATTTGAATCTCTGTTGGGAAATTCCTAAAAAAAAAATGGAAGAAAATTCATTGCTCTTTCATAAAAATTTATTCTTACCGGGAAAATTTACGCACTACAATGTATTTAAATTGTTTCAAGGAAAATAATTTTTATTAATTATTATTGTTATTCTTTAATTTACTTGAAATATCCATTTAGTTTAGCGTTACAATAAAAATCAAGTAGCAGTAGAAACAAATATTTTTACCTTGTAAAATGCTGGAGCTATGATAGTATAAAAAAGTTAACTATGTTTACGGTTAAGTTGAGCGATTGCCCTAAATTTAAGAGAAATTACAATAAGGTTCAAATTAGCACAATGTTAAGGGCAATTATAAATGATGTTATAGTTCAACACGCTCGACAATTCTTTGCTGTGTTATATATTATCATGCCCCAGAAACCTAGAACCAGGCCACAGCTGCAGAAAATAAAAAAGCCCCTTTTGAGTGCCTTTCTTGGTGGGATAGAAATCAACAATGTTTGGAGAAGGAGGCATAACTTTAAGTCATATAAAATCTGTAGAGAGCCATATATTGTAAAGCTCATAAAAGCTGAGCAGTTCATATATTTAGGATGGGGGATTCTACAGAGTAAGAAAACATTTTTTTGTAAACTGCTAATAAGTAGAGGAAAAAGATCCAGATTCAGATGGATGGAGATCAATCAGATGGAAATCAATAACTTCCTTGCTATCCAGGAAAGAAGCAGGCGCTCGAGTGTCAATAATGGAATGCAGTGGAGCAGAATGCAGAGGAAGACTCTGGCTCACTCTGGACTGTTTAGTCAAAAATGATGATAATGACTTATTTTGTCTCTCGTACTGTAGGGGAGAGTGGGGTCAATTGTAACAGGGTACGATTGTAACAGAGCAAAAATTTCGAGTGTCGGGTTCTAGATTTGGTTCCTCAGTGGCACACAAGGGGTATTTAATAAATCTACATGTACACCCCTGCTGGCAACCATTTTTATGTACTTTTGAAGGAGTTACATCACAAAAGGTATTTCCACGCTACGTACAAGTACTTTTTTTTTCTTTAAACAAATAAAAATTATTAACCGAATATGTAAGTGGACACCTTAATTAACATTTCGAAAAAAAAGATTGGTTTTGTTAATTAACTAGCATTGTTTTTAACTAATGAAGCTGAAATGGCGTCTTGGGGACGATTGTAACAATAAGTAAAGGAACGATTGTAACAGCTGAAAATAAATAATCTTATGTTTACAAACCATTACTTAACTCCTTAAGAACCACCAATATTTTCCTATATCCTTTATATTATGTTGCATGTGTATTATTTCATTTGTCACCTTTCACAGCATAAATTAAAATTTTTAACCCCTTAGAGTTAAAAGTTTAATCCTTTAGGTCTCTGCTCGTTAGTATTTTTACTCCTAAAATATCACTACTATTTTGATCAATGAAAAAATATATCACAACTATGATAATATGTATAATTAACTATGTTTTAGTTGAATTTATGAACTGTTACAATTGGTGTAAGTGGGGACAATTGTAACAAGTGCATGACTGTCAAAAATTGTTAATAACTAATATAATAAAATTTAAAATAAGGTATTTTTTTTTCTAGTAGAGGATAATCTACTTTACTCGTCTGTCAATTAATACTAATAATATATTGGATTTTTTTTTTAGTTAAAAATAGTTAAGTAGAAAAATGTTACAATTGACCCCACTCTCCCCTACCGTACTACTTTTCTGAAAATAAATTTTTACAACTGACAAAGCAAACAAGTAAACACTCAAAAAGGAAAGAATCTTGCTATGAAAAAAATGGCAGGTTATGATCTCTTAATGCAATTAAATCATAGGGGTGAGTTACAAAAGAAAACGGCACTAAAAACTTTCTCTAAATAAGCAAACATTTTTATTTTTAGAATTCAGGTGGTTATGAATTAATAATTTGACATGCAAATGTGGGTGTTAGAATTTAAGGATAAACTTGGGAGAGACGGTTATGAATTAGATGTAATTAGGGAAAAACTGGACAAGCATTTAACAGTTTGAAGTTCTTTGGAAGTTTTCTGAATTTGAAAGCAGTCAAATAATCGAAAATTTTAACAATAAAAATTTAAAATTTTGACTTTTTTGCAAGTGAAGTAAACATTTTCTTAACATTCATATAATTTTTTTTTCTAATTGAAAGTCTTATTTGTTGGAATTTTACATTACTTAACTTTAAGCGCATTCATTTAATCAAATTCATGCTATTTATACCAGATTATTGAAAAATATATAATAATACGCATTCCTTTGCAGAATCCGCAATCCAGATTGAACAGTCAGCAAAACCAGTTTTACTGAGCGGTTGATGTTCCAGCTAAGCATACGCTTAACCAGCTTGTTAATACATGAAAATCATTAAACGTTGTAAATTCTTTAAATCTATAAACAAATTCACTGGCTTTGTTACAGTTGTCTTCTTTTTTTTTATTTCATCTATTAAAATCACACTGTATCATCAATTATTCATTTGTGAATTGATTTGAGTGCAAGTTTTGGAAATCAAGAATCGTATGAGTCGATTTCAGTACGAATTTCGAGCATCGTTTGTTATGAGTATTATATATATATATCACTNTTGTTTTGTGAAATCATAACATTTTGTAAATAATAAATATTAACGAAAACAATAAATAAGTTTTTAAACGAATTACAATAAATAAATTTTTAAAAATAACCTCGCGCAAAAGAAAGCAGTCTTTAAAAATTCTGAATTTTATTCTTGTTTTGTGAAATCATAACATTTTGTAAATAATAAATATTAACGAAAACAATAAATAAGTTTTTAAACGAATTACAATAAATAAATTTTTAAAAATAACCTCGCGCAAAAGAAAGCAGTCTTTAAAAATTCTGAATTTTATTCTTGTTTTGTGAAATCATAACATTTTGTAAATAATAAATATTAACGAAAACAATAAATAAATTTTTAAACGAATTACAATAAATAAATTTTTAAAAATAACCACGTGGAAAGGAAAGCAGTCTTTAAAAACTCTGAATTTTATTCTTCTTGTTTCGTAAAATCATAACATTTTGTAAATAATAATTATTAACGAAAGCAATAAATAAATTTTAAAACGAATAACAAATAAATAAATTTTTAAAAATAATCTCACGGAAAAGAAAGCAGTCTTTAAAAATTCTGAATTTTGTACTTCTTATTTTGTAAAATCATAACATTCTGTAAATATTTAATGTTAACGAAAACAATAAATAAATTTTTAAACGAATTGCAATAAATTTTAAAAATAATCGCTGAAAAAAGAAGGCTGTCTTTAAAAATTCCGAATTTTATTCTTCTTTTTTTGTAAAATCATAACATTTCGCAAATAATAAATATTAACGAATCGAAATGGCGCCAATCAGAGATAAAAGCATCATGACTATCAACCCCTATGGAAACAAAGATAATGTCATGTGCGATGGATTAGCGTCAACTCCAAACCTGTGATTGTAGAGGGAAGGGGGAAAACTTTGAGCTCCTGTGACTTTGGAATATAGAAAGGATTCTCCCGTAATAAAGATATAGTGACAGAGCTACCTATTATTACCCGAGTGTGGTTGGTTCGAATGTCACTTGCCACACGGGCAAGCCTGCTTGGTGAAACAAAGCAGAGTGAGCGTTTCTTGTTTTTCAGTGGCGCCATCTATGGCCAAGAATATGACTTCTGCCACACCTTACGTCGCACCCATTTATAGGGTGAACCCATTCTTACATCCATTCATCTATCCACAGATCGTAATTTTGACCTTAATCTAAGAACGATCGATCTCCAATCCTTCTTGCCCCCAGAGGTATTGATTTGTTATGGGAACATGGAGGACTTTTGCGACTCAACAGATTTAACGTGCATGGACATGGGCCCAGCGCACTACCGACCAGGCTATCCCGGCCGACCTGAGTGTATTTATGGGTATTAAAAAATTATGAATTGTGGAATATTTTCCATTATTACGAATTGCAAGTGTTGCTGGAACCACTTCGGACTTTCCTGCATGCATTCCTAACTTTCGCAAATTTCTTTTTAAAGGATTCGAAAAATTCATCGGTCCTGAAACTCTAACTTGAAAATTGCATTTTTTTCTCCTTGTAAGGTAGCTTATTTTAGAGATAGACATGTGGTATTCATGCACTTCTCAATTTTTTTAACAATTCAAATATCAATTAGAATTAAAGTAAAAGTAACATTTATAACGAAATTAATTAAAAAAAACTTTATTATCATTCGCAGTTTCAAAAATTTTGTACTCGCATTCGTATACTTTGCATTTAGATTTGTCAGGATCTAATGGAATTTCAGCGCATATATCTTTAATATTTTCAACTGTCACGCTCAGTTCTCGAACTTATTCTTCTACTAAACATACCTGTGAAAAACAAATAAAATAATGAGGTTAGATAAGAAGAAATATACTACTATACTTTTGGTAAATTAAACAAATCATGCATAGATGTCCTAATAAAGCCACATTTATAACGAGAATAATTAAAGAAATTTATTATCATATGCAGTTTTAAAGATTTTGTATTCGCAATTGTATATTGAGCATTCTGGTTTGTCAGAATCTGAAGGAATTTCAGACCACATAAATTTTATTTCTGCAACTGTCAAGCTCAGTTCTCGAGCTTAATCACTCCTGAAAATTCCTGTAAAAACAAATAAAAAAGTGATCTTAGATATAAACTATACTTTTTGCAGAAAAAGCAAATCATGCATAAATATCCTCATAAGAGCTGCAAAATTACATGAAGTGAAAAAAGAAACACATAACTAAAATTCAAAAACACATAAATAGCCTATACAACTTGTTGATTGTATGAACATAAAACCCTATGGGACTTTGAATTCCCCACGCATTATATAATTTTAATTAAAGTTAAGTATTTGACACTTACTAGTGGGCTGCGCCCCCTGCTCGCTAGCGCTCGCCACCCCCGAAAATTGCTACGCAATCTTATATGGTTTGCCTCGCAAACCAAGATCGCTTCGCTCGCTACTAACTTGGTTACATTGCAAATGCACAAAATTTTAAGAATTCAAAACTCTCATTCAAATCCATATAACAACTTTTTCTTTTTAAAAAATTACATCTTTTTAGTAAATACTAAGTTATTAAAATAAATTTGAATTCAAATAAATGACATGTAATTCGTTAAACCTATTAGAAATGTGCTATAGTATAAAATCTTAAAGCGTAACAGCACGACTGAGACTCATTTTTCAATGAATAACTAATAACAATAATAAAACAAATAAATTCGTGATATAAATCAAAAATCGTCAAATAAATTCGTAATATATAAATTCGTGAAAAAAAGCGCTTTCGACAAAATACTAAAATAGAGATCTATCGACAAAGACTACTCACTTCTGCCTAGCTTATGCTCTCTCTGGTTATTTCAGTTTCCGTTTTTAAAAGCGCTATATGTTGAGCCATCTCAGCTAGATTTGGCATGTGACATTTTTAGCGGCAATCATTGGTCGATTTTCTAGCGTTGCCATTCGGGGAGTTGTAATGAGGCTTTTTTTTTTGTCGCTGCGTGAGAGAAATATATATATAGATTTTGTAACTAGTTTAAAATGATAATGATTCACTAAAAAAACATGGAAGACAAACTTGCAAAATCTCTCGTAATAGAAAGCTGCAAGTTAAAGAACAAAGATTGATCAAAAAATTTTAAAAAAATAGCTTCCTGTTACGAAATAACAGCAACTACATTGTTTCATAATCGATGTTTTACTTTAAATAATCATGTTCTTCAAACTAGCTATGATAATTGGAAATCTATACTGTAAGGACAAACAAGTTGGTTTTATGTTAGACCATCATAAATCTATCTGAATTCCTACATAGGAATGATGGTTGCTCATGATCGTTCAAACATTTGATTTCTAAGATACTATGATGAAAATTCGTGATGGTCCATTCAGATGGTCCAACAATGTATTTTCATGATAGTTTAACAATAATTATTGTTGGTTCAGCAGCAAATATACTATCAAAACAATTTGTTTATTTTTTTTATCTTGACCCATCATAAATCAGTCCGAATTATTCCTTGGGATGATGGTAGCTCATGATCATTCCAACACTTAATTTCTAAGAGACTGTGAAGGAAATTTCTGGTCTTTAACATGAGCAAACCATCAAAATAAGTTGCTATTCTTATATTAGACCATCATAAATCAGTCCGAATTCCTTCATTGGGATGATGGTAGCTCATGATCATTCCGACACTTAATTTCTAAGAGACTGTGAAGGAAATTTCTGATGTTTAACATGAGCAAACCATCAAAATAAGTTGCTATTCTTAGATTAGACCATCATAAATCAGCCCGAATTCCTTCATTGGGATGATGGTAGCTCATGATCATTCCGACACTTAATTTCTAAGAGACTGTGAAGGAAATTTCTGATGTTTAACATGAGCAAACCATCAAAATAAGTTGCTATTCTTATGTTAAACCATCATAAATCAGATGAATTCCGACATTCGGGTGATGGTTACTTATGTTGTTTACCATCAGAAAATATAATATTTCATGATGGAAATTATTGATGGTTACCATCAAGATGTTGGTCCATCAGTGGAAAACCATCAAAAATTTTGACTTGCGCATAGATTATTTTACTAAATAGTGTCCAAAAAGCTAACCAATTTCCCGGGCCTCCATCAAATTTAATATATTCGGGCAACTTATTCGAGGACAGTGCTTTATTTTAAGTATTGCAGAGAGGATTTCTTGAAATATTTTGCAGTTTTACTTTCCGTCGATATGAAATTTACGTCTTTAATTTCTAAAGATGAATACTAATCGCAATAATCTTTCGACGCTTCTAATGCCGTAACATAATCTTGCAGTGTGCACATAGCTACTTGCGTTGTTTTTTTAATGAGAAGTTTGAACTTCTTGCATCTGCTCATATTTTTCTGTCAAGCAATCCGAATTTATGTCTATTTGAGAATTTATTTCTGCTTTTATGATTGATTCAAACTTATTGATCGATCTCGTAAATGCCCTTCTTGTTTAAACTCGTGATTGGTCAGAATTGGTTGACGCTCATCACAGTATGTTTAATCCAAGTATTCATACGCAATTTCGGTTTTACGACTACTAATGTCCAACTCCGTAGCCTTGCAATTTTTAACCCAATCCAGAAGACGAGGGGACTCCTGGATCAAGTATTGGGAGAAATATGCCTCCGTGGAGGACTTTTTGATGGAACTAACCCGCATTTCCATCACATGGAAAGGAACACCACGAGAACCTCCCACGATTAGCCAGACGGCAACAGGACTCTAACCCATGATCCGTCTGCCCCTGAGGATATTTCACGTCAACAGTGTGATCGGTGCTTGTATTGACCAGCAATACCTAGGATTCGAACCTGGTTCACC